TGCGCCACTGACTGCATTAGTTGATTAGACAATCCAATAACCAGTATAATAAGAGCCAAAGGTAATACTACATGGTAAGTCTTTAATATTAACGGCAGAACATATGTAGGAATAATATACAAACATGAGAAGAAAGCATGTGAATTAGAAATCTTAAGGATCATGGCGGCATGGCGAGCATGCAGCACCAGCAGGACTTTCTAAAATTTGTGTCCCAGAAAAAAAAAAAAAAAAAGGAGCGGTGGACAATCAAAGTCCCCTTCTAAAAGAAGATAAACTCAATACTTCATATTCACAAACATTAGCAGTAATATGCAGTCAGTTACAGGGGAAAGGACATAAATATATATATATATATATATATGGTGAACATAATCCCAGAAACAAATACAATGCTAGCAAGCAGTTACCAGATTGTTCAACCCATAAGGAAACAGTGTTATCCACATAATGCCAATGATGAAGAGTTGAAGATTTTAAGTTATAACAAATTCACATATGCCCTTTTTCATTTAACCTTTCATCAATCCCTAAAGTTTAAGTACTGCATGTCTATGAGTGCCCATCAAATCACCGATTTATACACACCTAATAAGAACAAGTACCTGTGAACCAGAACCAATGATTGGATCACTTCCCCTCAAGCCATCTACAAGTTCAGTATATAATTGTTCTTTAGGAGTTGCTGCAGGTGCACCATAATATGAGAATTCCACAACATCTACATCACACCACACGCCTCCTGGCCCCTGACCAATACTTTAAATAAACATTTTAATTGTCCAAACAAGATAAGTCAATTCAAGAAAGGTTAGTCATACACTCAAAAATTTTTAGATCTGATATGCTTGTTAAGAAACTCCTAAAACTATCAACAACTCATAACTTTAAAAGAGTCAAATCTGAAATGAATTAGATAACTTCTCAAGGATATTTTAGGGCACATTAGCAGCTATGGATGATATCAAAACCAACAAATTTAATGTAGCGTTAGAACAAGAACAGCCTTTCCCTGCAACCCACCCCCAATAAAACTAGGAGAAACCAAAAAAGAAAAAATTAAAGAAAGAAAACATGGAGGTTCAGTAAAAGCAGTGAGGCTAGAAGCATTAAACTTACCTCAAGAGCAGCAGGTAAACATTGAAACTGGCTAAGCCATTGCCTATGAACTTTTCGAGCAACAAAGACATGAATAGCTGGTATATCTGTCAAAACACCCCGTCGAATACGGAACCCAATTGCTGTGCCAAGACTAAACCTACGCAGTTTTTTACTGTGAAATGCTCTGATGGTCATCAACTCAAGTAAGGTGGTTGCTTGCTGCCCTGATGGCAACCGTCCAAGAGTTTCTGGCAACACCCCTTTCTGTAGGTTTCCAAAATGGTTTGCTCTATCTTCTGCAGCGTCAATTAATCGACTTGAAGTAGGCCATGAGAAATAGGCAGCATTGCTCTCAGAATGCTGAGCACCAGAAGCAAAGGGTTGAAGAGGTGAAGGACTTGATGAAGGCAGATTAAGATAATTGCAGCAATTTCGTTCCAAATCTAAAGCAGATTCCTCTGATTCTGTTGATCCAGAGTGATGAAATCTTAAATCCAATCTGGTCCTCTCCATCTGTCAGCTATCCTAAATAATAATAATTCAATTTGTCTCAAAACTCAATGAATATTTAAGCGATATAAAGCAAACCAAAGTACAAACGTGATCATGATCATAGACAATACTTAGTCCTGATTACATTCAATACTAAATTTATAATACCAAAAGAAGAAAATGTTGATATCATTAAAATAGATAAACAAGTATAAGTGAATCATACTAACTCTGTTAATTCCATAAAGGCCGATAAAATACGAGTGTAGCTAAATGGGAAACCAGAGTAACTGCAAATGGCAAAAGATCAAATCAAAAAAAGAAGAAAAAGATCTGTGCACTCTAACCTCTTACCTGGAGAGAATATTAATACAATACAACTTTATGAAACGTCAATCCCAGCCAACAACTTATTAAACATGGATAGAACAGGTAACAATCCTGAAATACATCAATAATGCACCAAAAAAACATAAATAGAAACAAAAACAGGACATCATTATATTTAAGGTCCAATGGCCATAGAGGAAAGAAAATTCTTCCAAAGGTACTTTCAAAAGTGAAAGCCAAACAAGATAGAACAATGGTATCATCCTCTCCAAGCTGAAAGAGGCATGTAAGAGTGAAAGAAAACATGACCAATAGGATGATGGCTTAGATAGCTGTAGAGAGAGATAAACAACAGCCAAACTAGATACCCTTTTATTGGAGGATGTTGAAAAAAGTGCTGCAAAACTTGAACCATTGGAATATGGGTATTTTAAGAGTTGAGTAATAATGGACTAATCCAAACCCAGAAAGCTAAAAAGCACCAATTCAACATATTAAACTCCAAAAATAAAAAGGGCTCAAAAGAAACGATAAAATATTTGGACCAAATTTAGAAGCAAACCCAGATAAATATATGACCTTTTATGAGAATCCTGGGAATATATTAAGCTAAAACTCACCTACAAACAATGGTGGAGCTGGGATGGAGGACTCAAAGTCAAGCCCTTTGGAGATTTTCATGCCCTAGTGATTATTGCACATAGCCTGTTAATCACACAAAAAAACAAATCAAAGCTGTCACTATGTATTATTCTATTTGTACCTCTGAGTAAGAAAAGGAGGCTCTAAATTTGGAAAGATTGAAGCTTTTATGAGGTTAGGAAAGAAAGATTACTCTAATTTAGAGAGAGAAAAGGCCACAAATATCTTGTAGCTGATACTGCTATATTGTATTACAGGAAATCTATTTTAATAATGGGTTTTTATAGAGAAAATTTAATAAACCTTGGGAGAGAGAGAGAGAGAGAGAAAAAAAAAACCTTTTTTTTTCTTTTTCATTTTGGTTGAATGGCTTTAGCATATAATGGTGGAAAAAAAGTGCAAGCATGACAAGAGAAATCATAATGGAGGAAGAAATGGCCAACGTGCAAAGGGTAAAATAATTTTTCTTGGGCATTTACATTTAGTCTGGTGGGGAAAATTAGGGCCCCAACCATATTTGCTCCCCAAAAGTAGCACACTCTTCTTTCAAATAATTCAAAAAAATCCCACCTATTCATTGAGGTGGGGTTTAAGTTTTTTTTTTTTGTTTTTTTAAGAATTTTAATAGTAATATCTTTATTTGCACCGTTAATTTTTTAACTCCTAGCATTTTTTTTTATAGAGATACTTAAAAAATTTTGAGGCTGTGATTCAAAGGTGGTTCATTATCAGACAATAAAAGAAAGAAAAAAAGGATTAATTTGGGGTAGAAGCCCTCAAATATCCCCTTTTAATATCATTACCCCTTTTACTTTTCTCCTTTTAATGGGTTTTATCTAAACAGTGAAATGTTGCCTTTTTGTTCTTTCTCTTTCTCATATTATAATGATGTGCTATTTTCCATTATTTTTGGCTTTCAATTGCCTATCTCAATAGTAGTCCTTTCCCGAAGAGAATTGCCTTTCTAGAAGTTAAAATCAAATACCTCCTTCTCCACTTGCCACACTCCATCTCTTATCTTCTCCCCCACATTTCAATCATCAATTATGATCAGCAGACCCCCCCCCCTCCCACTCTACTCTACTCTTTAATTTATGGAATTGAATTGTAATCTTAAAAAAAAAAAAAAAGCATACACTAGCCAAGAGAATTGTATCCATCAATGATATATCAAATCTATCACTTTTAACATGCCAAAACGTGCATGATTTAGATTAAATTTAAAAAAAAAATGAAAAGTGCTTCTTATAAATTAAATATGAAAGTTCAATGAAAGAGAAGTTAAACCCCAGTTATATAGCACTTTCATTTTTTTTGAATGGCAGAACATTTGTTAAATAGATTCCTAAGTCTAGCATTTTCCAAAGGTATCATCCCTTTGTTAGATGAAAATCATGAAAAACATATGCCCTTAAGGTCAAATTGGGCTAGAGTTGAAAAAAAATTTTCATACCCATTTTTGTTCTTAACTTGAGTATGATTATTTTGCAACATTGGGTCTCAAACATGAAGTGTTTGAGAGTGAAAGAAAGGATTAGAAATGGAGGGTGGAGGAGGAATTGAAAAGTTCTATGGAAAGGGTCCATTGGATGGAATTCAACAATGCAATTATTGAATCAATGTATCCAAAGAAAAACAAGATAGGTTCCACCACAATCAAGCCCTTTAAAGGAAGAATTGGTGATTTGGTGACAGCACTTACCCATTGTTGGATGTACTAAATTTCAATTAATTACAATTGATGCACTTTTTTTTTTTTTTCTTCCATCATCTTTTGACCTTTTTTGGCATTCTTCAAAAGAATGCAATCAAACTCTAAAAAAAAAAAAAAAAAAAATCAAATTGGAGATTCTTTTCACAGTTTTGTACTTGGTGATTATATATTTTAAGTTATTTTAAATTTTCAAAATTTAATGACTATTGAAATTTTGATTAAAAAGTAAGAAAAACTTGTATAGCACATGACAAAGGTTTTTGCAAGTTCTATTATCTGATAAAGATTTCACATGCAAATTATTATGCAAAGGGTTTGTGTTTTACACAATCTATAGTTTTAAAATTAAGAATTTGACTTTATCTCAAATGATTTACTTATCTAAGTGAAAATTTACAAAATTAAAATTTAATCTCTAATGCTTGCAATTTTTTTCTGCATAAATTATGATCTCTATTGTATAAAAAATTTAAGACTAATTTTGTTTTTGAAAAAAATTTTAATCTAAAAGTAAAGCATTTTTATTTTTTATAAATCTTAAAACTGAATTGAATAAGCATAAATTCCAAATCAAAGCCAATTAATTGAATTTTTATTTATTGATAAATCAATTTTGATGGATCACTATTAAAAAAATAGAAGCAATTTAAGATGAAAATTTTCTTATAAATAATAAGAAAAATATATTCCTATTCGTTATAAAAGTTTTACTTATTTTTATATAAATAAAAACTTCAAGTGCTAGATATTGACGTGGCACCTCCGTTAGCTTTCAATCGATCGTTACATTACATAATCTTTTGAAAACTTTTTTTTTTTTTTCCTGATGTGGATCTTTTTGATCAAAGCGTGGCGCAGACATTAAAGATGGAAGAAGCCGGCAGCGATCGAACAGGGTGCGAGCGGCTCCAGAAGGCGTTATGCGAATGCCATCAACGATTCGGACCAGGTGCGATACGGGACACGGCCTGTCGGCACTTGAACCGAGCCCTAGCGGAGTGCTTGGTGGCGGTGCTGTGCCCCGAAGAGACGGAGGCGGTTAGGACACTCTGCGCCAGCGGTGGAACCCGGCTGAAGCGGTCCCAGTGCCAACAGGCCCAGCTTTCACTCTCGGTCTGCATTTCTTCTCTTCAGCAAGATTGATTTCCCCATCTAGAATTACCTTTTTACCCTCTGCTAAGTTTATTAGTATATTTCTATGTTGTGAAAGTTAATAATTAGAATATTTGTTTTTGACTTTTTTTGTAACATTATTTTTTGAATCGATTTAAATAAATTTGTTTACTTAAAAATTTAACAAATTTATAAAATATTAATTTTCCACATCTTTACTGTAAACTCGAACTCATATAACAAAGAAAAATACACATTCTTTGTTTCGCTCGAGGCAGCCACAGCCATCCATAGGTAAATTAAGATGGTTTTAGTTAAACCAAATACATGATACCATAAAGCTGTGTGGGCAAACAAAATAGCTCAAGGGTCACAAACGGTGGAATATCTGCCTCAGTCAGAATGTTCCCACAAATGTACCGCTGCTTGCTTGGAAAGAATCTGCTCACACTTTTCCAAAGCTTCATATAATTGTTTTACAGCCTTGATGGTCCAATGACAAGACATACGTAATAAGAGAACAGAACTGTTTCAAGAATGTAGAGACCGAGAAGTCCCACACTAAATTGAAGATATCAACCCACAACAAAAAGACCTCATCTAAGGCTCTTGCTGTCTAGCAAGCCAACATTTGTAAACGCCGTTGTTAATTCCACTGTACATCCATTCACTTGTCTCATCAATTAGAGCCCTCAAATGAGGAGGATAAAGGCCCAAATCAGGATTCTCTGCTATGTCATTGAATTCAGTAGTAAGCATTCGGATTATGTCTGAACTCTCGTTACTAACAATAGTCTTGAATTTCTCGTCCCATAGGACCTATCACATAACATAAAGCACCAAATAAATTGAAATAGTTGAACATGGAAAAGAAGCAAAAGAACAGAGCAAAAGAGAGCTGGGAGACGCTTTTAATACTTATGGAACTTACAGGAACTGAGTACTTCACAGTATAGTTCTCTTATAGTCTCTGCTCCATTTGGAGGGGTCAGATTCAGCATCTGGCTCCTCTGTATTAGAGGTGGGAAAAACCCACCCCATATGCTCATCAGTTTCCTTTGTCCTTTCCCATATGGGTTTGACTGACGGGTCAGCAATTGAACAAAAATGATTGTTAGCTTTAAGACAGATTCAATTGAACTAAAACAGCTTAAAAGGCATAACATGATCCGCCAACCCTGAAACCGATGGCTTTGTCAAGTCCTCTAATCTTCAAGTATGCAAGGCACCTGGAAGCCCAGGGCCAAGCATATGATACATACAAATGATACGTTCCCGACTCAGGTGGGTCTCGAGAGAAGAAGTTGTGAAATGTTGAAGCAGTTCTCATAAAAGCCCCAGAATCTGACATTTCATCCAGTGAAGATCCAGCCATTTGAAAAGTGCACTGAAAAATGAATCACTTCAGAAATTATTACAACTTCTCAAAGTCCAACAAAAAATCATGCCATCTTTAAGATTCAACTAATAAGCAAGAAAATTTCTCAACCCTAAAATATACAGTGCAGTCTTTTCTTTTCTTTTCCCTTTATGAATTTTGTTTGACGTATCTCTTTCATTTGAGTTCTTTCTGTCCTGTTTCTTATTTTTCTTCTTTCTATGTTTCCGAGATAGTTACTTAATCCATAAATATATAATTCATCAAGGAAACATAAATATATAATTCATCAAGGAAACTTGACATAAACTAAAAGAACAAATTCAGCTATTAGCCAGAGACTATAAAATATCTTTTCAAGCAAATAAAGTTTATTGCATGCGTTATCATTCAAGGCAATAAATCGAAATTACTTATGATGTTTCAATGAAATATCCATTTTATCTTAATAACTATAAGAGATCTTTTCAAGCAAATAATGCGACCAGAAACTGTTTTTACTCAGGGCCTATCTCGTTAAATAGCAAAAGAAAAAAAAGGATATATGGTCCTAATTCCTGAAACACACAACAAAAATTAACTGATACTCCTCCTATTGATCTCATTAGTAATAACCAAAGATATGAGTTTGTCAAAAGAGTAATAGAGATATTATAAAACCCATTATTATCAAAAGAAATGAGAACTATTACAATAACCCAACGAAGAAGAAAACTTTTCATTGTAGGCAGCAAATGAAACATTCAAGAGTAGTAGAGGGACTAACGGAAATGATGCAGCATAGAAACTGAAACCCAGAAAAAGAGAGACAAGAGAGAGCAAATTAAAGCATAATTATTACCTTGAAAGCAAATAATGGGGGAGAGGAGGAGTTGTTGGTACCAAATGCTGACGGGGTTTTGCAAAAGAAAGGGAGCATGGGTTTTATAAAGTTTCCTTCTTTTTTTTTGGTTGGTTTTTAATGTGTGTTTTGTTTTCCTATAATACCTTTTATCTGGGCTAAACAGATGCAATGGATCTCATGCTTGAAGAAGCAGAAACAAATAGGTAACGAGTACATATTACAAGTTGTGACAAAAGCGAGGCACGCCAAAGGCATCAACCATTAAATCAGAAAAAGGTAGCACCTTTTAGTACTTGGGCTGCTAAGACAATTCTTCAAAAACAATTTATAGCGAAATTTTGACATCATAAAGACAAATCAATTTTGAGTTTTGATTTCCATCACGGTTGGAATTTGGAGGTTTAAAAAAAATGAAAAACTGTTCTCATCAGGTAGCATGATTTTTGGAGGTTAAAATGTTTAAAAAAAAAAGAGAGGAATTCTTGTAGTAGCGATAACAGACAACTAAACTTGCCTGGTTTTAATTGATTCCTCATATGATACCAAAGGCTTGCCCTCTTCTTTTCTGCCTTAGGTCCCCATTCTTAGTCCTGAGATCCTATTTATAACATCTGGTAAGACTTGAGAGGATAAACACGGGCAAATCAGGATGTCATTCAATATGATTCATGCAAACTTTTGTTTCTGTTTTCAAACACTAATTAAAGATACAGTAGTGCACTGCTCATTACATCCAAACCACTAGCTTCTTCTGTAGTTAGGTCCTCTGAATTTTCCATTGACAGCAGAAATGCCAACAGAAGGAAAACGAACTGAAGAATCTTGAACTGCCGAGGAAAAGGGATCAATTCAACGTCCTTTAAAAGAACTAAAAATGATTCAGTCCTGCGGAAAACTTCATGTCAACTTGCAACCTGCTTTAGACGAAAAGCTTTCTATTGCAAATATGGCCCATTTTCCCTGCAGCCAGGCTGGTCTGCTAACCAATTCCTTTAGAGATCCTTTCATTCAGGTCAGAAACAAGAGCAAACTTGTCAGTCTCATAACATGCAGTTATGAATGCTGTCAAAGTTACACGATCAACATTGCGATCCTTATCCAATAATCTATGAAAGAATAATGTAGCTATGCCTACTTTCTTCTCGCTACAAAGCTTCCTGATCAAGGTGTTAACCGTCCGCATCCAAAGTTTTTTCTCTAGTCTTTCCAACATAACCATGGCAATGGCAGAATCACCTTTCTTGCAATACTCATAAGCTAATGTCAACCGAGTTACTTCACATGGAGAAAGCCCCTTGTCCATCATAGTCTCATATAACTGGCAAGCCTCCTCCAACCTAGACTCTTTGCAAAGTCCACTGATCAGAGTTCCATATGTGATGCTATCTGGTGCACAACCATAGTCATTCATCTTGTTGAAAAACTTGAGTCCCAAGCTTATATTTCCATCTCTGCAGTATCCACATATCATGGATGTGTATGTTTCCTTGGTTGGAACCAATCCAAGCCGCAATGCTTCTTCAAAAAGGTTCTCACTGTCTTTCATTTTCTTTTTCTTACAGAATGCAGCAATCAATGTGTTATATGAATGTATATCAGGCTGGTGGCCAACTTTCACCATCTTACCCAAAAATGCCACAGCTAGTTCAGTATCTGTCTGCTTACAATGTTGAGTAATGAGAATGGTATATGTAACTCTATCAGCTTGCAATCCATGTAGAAGGCCCTCCTTGAGCAGTTCATGGGCTTCTTGGACCCTTCCCTTTTTACAGAGGCCATCAATAATTGCATTATATGTACATATATTAGGAGCAAAACCTTCATTATCCATTACATCCATCAATTCATATGCTCGTTCAAAATTCCCCATTTTGCAATGGCCATCAATAAGAGTGGTATATGTGTTGGTGTTAGGAACCAATCCCTGATCTTTCATTCTACTCAACAACATCTCCGCCCGGTTCAACTTCTCCTCATAGCAATATCCACTGATCATAGAAGTATATGTATGCACATTAGGCTTGTAATCATCACTCCTAACAAGCTTAAGGAACAACCTAAAAGCCTTGTCAGTCCATCCTTTCTTGCAAAGCCCATCAATCAAAGCAGAATGTACATACACATTAGGCTTCCATCCTTCCCTAACCATTTCCTCCAGTTTTCCAAACGCTTGCTTTATAGTACCCCTCTTACATAATCCATTTATCATACAAGAATAGTTAATCAAATTTGGCTTAAAACCCATCTTCACCATCTTATCAAAATACCATAATGCTCTATTCACAAAACCCTTGTCACAAAACAGACTGATAACCAATGTGCAAGTAGCATTATCAACAATGAACCCTCTTTCAAGCATTTCCCTCAACCACTTATCAACCTCTGGAACCCTTCCCGTTCTACAATACCCAACTACCAGCAATTTATAACTACTAAAATCCCCACACACACCTCTCTTAGACATTTCATCGAACACTTTCTCCAAATAGTCAAGCAACCCCATTTCGAACCCAACGGCCAATATACAGGTCAAGGTTTCAGCCTTTAGCTTCAAGCCTTGATTTTGCATCTCAAAAACCATCCCAACAGCCTCCTTTAACCTCCCAACTTCAGCAAAACTCCTTACCAGACACTGCATTACCTCATTGGCTTTGTCAAAGTTGCCATTTTTAATCAAAGAAGTGGTGGTTACAATGTAAAGTCTCATGAAATGTCTAAACTTGGAGATCTCAAGTACCCAGTGAAAGAAACTTAGAGCAACCATAGAACCAGCTTCATTTGCTAGAGAAGCAACAATGGAAATGGCTTGTTCATGGGTCAAAGAATAAGGATTGATGTTAAGGTTGAGCTTGGGAGTTGAAAATCTTAAGTGGGCTTGTTGGTAATAGGATTCATAAACTTGAGAACAGATTGTTTTGATTAAAGATTGGGGTTCTGATGATGGGGATGGAGATTGGGTATCAATGGGATTTGTGTTAAAATGGAGATAAGATTGGTTGAGAGTGAACAGAGGATTGGCAGATAGTCTGGGTTTAATTCCATGGGACCGGAGAATCATTGACGAATGCCAAGGAAGCATGATTATGACAAAGAAGATGAAGAATAAATGATAAGTAAAATTTTCTGTAATTTATAAATCAAAACAGAAATGTTTTACTTCGTGCAAAATCAAAAGAGAAAGTGTATGATTATGAAGTCATGAAGAAAAATAAAAATGTGAAACTTGGAAACATACAATGCAGAAGCCAGAAAGGAAACTGAAACAAACAAAAAAAGGGTAAACTTTTTATTTTTTTGTATAATTTAATTGGCTGATTCCTTGTATGAATACGGATTGAGAATGGATTTCAAGGGTCATAATTTGGGCCTTGTGATATGTCAGGTCCAAAACATCCATTCTGCGTCCTAACACTGTTTTGTCTGGGAAAGATCAAGCCCAACCCAAAGTCAAAGATATGTTCATAAACTGATTTGGATTCTTTTATCTTAAAATAAAAGATCAAATCAAAAGTGGTATGCGTTCAATGTATGTTTTGCTTAAACTTTTGAGCATGTTTCTACCACTCTAGAAAGTTATTGTTAGGTCAATCAAAGATTTTTTAAAACATATTTTTAATTAAAGCATGTCTCAATTGATAAGTTGAACTTGAAATTTTAACACTGCTTTCTTTTGTATAATTTGACATGCTTTCCAACACAATAATTGATTTCTTAGTGTAATTTTTCCATTGGCATTTCTTCTTTTCATTTATGTTTCCGCAGTTAAGTACTAGCTTTCACCAACGAAAGGCAATCTGACATAAAGTTGACAGTCCACCCTTCAACAGCTTTGCATGTTTCATTTGATTGCTCCTTGATGATCGCCAAACCGACAAAGCAAACCAAGCAAAAAGCGAACAAAAGTGCTATGCAAAGGGTAATTCTGAGCAAGTTGAATGCACAATACAGCAGCATAACTAGATATTCCGAAGACTCTAGAATTATTGAATGTTTTAATGATCAGCATAATTTCACAAGTAGGAGAAAAAAAAGCACCCCAAGACTTACAACTGCAGATGATATTCAATTCAACCTTAATTTGAAAAGCGACCCTGAAAGTGAGAAAGGCCGCTGATTTACAATGTTATTCGGACTTGTGGGTGAGTGTTAAATCCGAATATATTTAGGATACTACATTTTCAACTTTTTAAGTTTATATATATATATATATATAATCGAATTTTTATATTCATATCTATTAAATATGTGTTGGACACGAATTTTTTTCAAAAGAATATGTATGCTTTTTCAATCACAAATGGGTGCATCTTTACCACTTTAAAACAGCTTCTTTGATGATTATGTGGGTGTAAGGAGTTCCCTTGTTAAGTAATCAATCATCCCCTATAATTAAGGCATGCGAAGTTGAAGATGCTTATGGTCCATCACATGCTTCTTCTGCCTTTGCATGATTACCAAAGTTTTCTCTTTCCAAAATAACTGTTGAGGAAAAAACCACCATAATTAAGTGTCACATGGTTCTTCTGTGAGCTCTCAGTTCATCTAAGCCTACATGTTAATGGAATTAATAAATCCAAAAGCAACTTGCCACTCCACTTTTGTATAAATGACATTGCTGTACAAGACAAAACCAGTTAACCCGTGGAGTAAGCTAGCTATTTTCTTCTGTCCCAAGTATTCAAACTTTTTCTTTGAGGAAATTTCATATTGGAACATATCCCTCATTTTGAATAACACTCTTAATTTATGCTCTCTCCTTTTAGCTTTCCTTCTTTTTTTCATTTTTGGATTTAGAATCATACAATCGTTGAAAGAAGCTATGGAAGTGCAATAGGAAGTGTGCAAATTAATCTTTCTGTATAAATTTTCGGTATTATGTATGTGGTTGAAAAATTTGTTCCTCAAGAAAACATAGATAGTCAAGGATATTGAGAGAAGAGGTGTAGTGTAAAGGGGAGAAAAAGAAGAAAAAGGTATCACATGCTTGCTTTTACTGCAGGGTACATCCATCATTTTGTTTTACTCTCTGGTTTTGACTCTCATCATTTTTCCGATCATCCTTTAGCTAATCAGAACTTGGTCAATACTTTAAATTCCAAAAAAAAAAAAAATGCAGATATATGTTAATATTTCATCCTATGGGAGGGCAATGCCTGTGGATTATCAAAGGTTTGATTTAGGACAAATGACATTTATGTAAACTTTAAATACATAATTATGTTTGTTATAATGCATTCATTATATTAAACAAACAATAAAAAAAAATCATCACAAGGAGTCAAGGTTAAGATCTATCTAGTTTTTGCCTCAACCATTTTTAGAGATACAAAATGATAGGTGAAATCATTAAGATTAAGTTGTTAAGAGAGAGGAATCAGAAGCCAAAACAGTAACAAATGTCGATGGTATTAAACAATAGGTTTCTTATTGATCCCATTAATATTTTGCAATAACTTGATTGAGGGCTTTGTTAGCCCTACTCATTTATGTAAATATGTTTAAGATTAAAGAACAGAAAAACAAAAGGGGAACAATTTTGTTATCATTAAAAAGTAGACAATGATGGACGGTTGAATTATGTAAACAGTGTCCACTACAAAGAAAAGAAGAATCTCAACCACCCTCCATCTTATTTTACATCCTTTCCTTCTATATAGAAATCTCTCTCTTCTTCTATCTGTCACAACCCACAACATTCAAAGAAACAGCAACAGAAAAAATGCACAAGTTCTGTTGTTATGTTCTCTTGCTATTATCATTCCTTTACTTTCCTCTGGCCCTTTCATGGAGTCAAAACACTCAGTTTAACCAAGCTGAGAACTATGAGGGTTCTTCAGACCTAGTTAAACTTGAGTACCATATGGGTCCTGTCCTTGCATCACCTATCAATCTGTACATAATCTGGTATGGTCACTGGAATCCGACCCACCAAGCTACTATAAGGGACTTCCTCTATTCCTTGTCTTCATCAGCTCCTTACCCTTCTGTTGCTGATTGGTGGAAAACTGTCAGGCTCTACACTGACCAAACAGGATCAAACATCACCGGTAGCATTTCTCTTTCAGGAGAGTTCTATGACTCCAGGTATTCCCATGGTGTTTATCTAAGTCGTTTATCAATGCAATCCATCATCAAAACTGCAGTCGCTTCCTATCCAAGGCCACTGCCTCTCAATCCTCGCAATGGCCTCTATTTAGTGCTAACTTCTTCTGATGTCCACGTTGAGGATTTCTGCAGGGCAGCCTGTGGCTTTCACTACTTCACCTTCCCAACCATTGTTGGTGTAACAGTTCCTTATGCTTGGATTGGTTATAGTGGAGCTCAGTGTCCAGGCATGTGCGCCTATCCTTTTGCCTGGCCAAAGTACTCAGGGAAGCCACCACCAAGCACAAATGGAGGTAACAACATAATGCGTGCGCCAAATGGGGACGCAGGAGTCGATGGAATGATCAGTGTTATCGCTCATGAGCTAGCAGAAGTGTCAAGTAATCCATTGGTTAATGCATGGTATGCCGGAGATGATCCAACTGCACCTACCGAAATTGCAGACCTGTGTCTAGGTTTGTACGGTTCTGGTGGTGGGGGTGGGTATGTGGGTAAAGTTTACAAGGATTCCTGGGGGAACGGGTACAATCTGAATGGAGTCAAGGGAAGAAGATTTTTGGTTCAATGGGTGTGGAATCCTGTGAGAAGAAGATGCTTTGGGCCTAATGCCATGGATTAGAAGTGTAATATACTATATGTACAGAACTTTAAGACTGTTTCCTGTTATATATCTAGTAATCGACGAGGCAGGAAGAAATGCCCTAGGAATCAATCATAATGGTGTTGGTCGGCACGGTAATGGGAGAGTGAGCTGCCTGCCTTGTTGATAAAATATTTTATATTTTAAGACAGAGACGTTGATGATGATGATCCTTTGCTTGTTTAACTCACATAAACTTTTTTTGTGTATGCGAAAAGGATCTAGAGAAAAGCTCAGCCCATGTTAGGCAGCGCAGCAGTAGTCTTCGAACAAACACAAACTTGTAGAATTCAACGATCAATGAAGTCTTTTAAATATCTAGTGTAAGACACCACTTTTTTAACAATTCCGACCAACTTCCATTTCTTTTTGCGTTGGCTTTCCACTGTCCTTAGTTTTGTATCATGGGTTTTGTCAGTCCTAACTACAACACACAGGAAGCCAACATATATACCAGCACAATGTCAATGTGATAGCATGCACATCATTGATAAAAATTATTATAGTCAATAAATAAAAGCATGAACGATAGATATTTGTTAAAACTATTATTCATGAACTATCCTATGTCCTGAAAATGGTGATGTATTATTTGCCTCTCAATGCCAAAGGTACATTATCCGCTGAACCTAATCGAAAAATAAATTACAAAAAAAAAAAAAAAGATTTTGTATTAGCAGGACAGCCTACTCATTTAGCAAATATGAACAAATAAAATTATGAAAACTGAAAAATTATAAGGATTTCTACCATGATATTCAAAATGTCAAAATTTCACAAAGCAAGGGATTCTGCAATTGCTGGTTAAAGAAATGCTTTCGTCAATTCTTGGACAAGAACCAGCAATGATGTGAAATTCACAACAATTCAGAGCAATGAATACAGGGATGGTCAATAAGCCTGGTTACAAGGCTCCCTGGCTCTGGAATGAGAGCATATGTCAAGCTGTTCCAGAAATGAAACGTCACAGACTCGCTCAGAATCTTATTGAATAAAGCATCTTGCTGTGTTTTCTCAGTTTCTGTCGTCGGTGCAACAAAGTATCTGTTTTTTATCCAAAGTAGTTATGTCAGAAGACGAATTTAAGGCTTCAGATTAAAAGATGTGCAACTAGTGTAATTTGGAGACTGTCCAAAGAGGCATAAGGCAAGCTCATGAAAATTTTCTCATGCAACCATAATGTAAACATTTGACCTCATAAATGCCAGTGGTATGTGCCGTGAGGATCACAATTATAAGGTAATACCTTTTATTGACAATCTGTTTTCTGGTAAAAGAAAGTTTTTATTTCTAGGTTCTACAGAGTTAGGCAACTTGAAAGAAACACCCAACACTCAGAGGCTACTGAAATATCAAGGAGATGGTCCAATGACTAAATGTTATCCTATAACAACTCTGCTTTCGATTAGCTAACCCTGGAAATCCAAGGATCCATTATTTAAAAATTAAAATGTTTTTCTAGTAAAAAACCTATCATAGTCGCCGAGTTAGATGGAAGACAAATGCACAAAAAGAATATTATAATAAAAGAAACCAATCACTAACCTCATCTCCCAGAAACTAATCAATCACCATGGAGAAGCAGAAAAAAAAAAAGCAGTATGAGAACAAAGTTCGAGTTGGGGGGCGTAGAGATGCTTCACTAGTCAGATTTTTGCAATGGTAAGAGCCAAATATACATATGATTGTAAGCATGTACAGGCATGAATACATGTTTATGTGTGCATACATGCATATTCCCCAAAGTGCGTTCGAATTTTGAATTTTATCAGACACATGCATTGAAAAGATGGTTTTCAAGAGATGGGGATGTACATGGAACAGTACCTTGTAATATGCTGAGAACTAATAGGGAAGAAAACAAAGGAAGGTTGCACATCCAACTCGGGCAGTTTGACGGATGTCTTCTTTTTGTTCAAAAACCTTTTTGCAACTCTTGATAGAAGATCAGCCCCATTCCATCTCAACTGGGTATCGTCATACGACAAATAGAACTCCTTCAAACACTCCATTATGAAGGGACTGCACAAGAGAATGCAAAAATCAAAGAAATGATTTAATTGCTGGTATAAGGAAAATCAACAATCCAGTAAAAGCATATAAAAAACGAACAAACTTATAAACGATCCTTCTCAACTTTCAAAGAACCTGACCAAAACCAATCCTTTCCACCCAAATCTTTGAGAGAAAACTTCTCATTACAGAAACTAGATATAAATAATGGACTGAAACATTTGTACCACAGTCATTCTTAAACAAGGTACCCATAAATATACATTCCAAGAAATTATGCCTAAACACAAAATAAAAAAAAAAAAAAAGATACAGCTCTCTATTCTAAAAATTATTGAAAGAAAGAAAAAAAGAAGAATGACTTTTTCTTTTAAAAGAAATGAATATGATGGCACAAAATAACCAAAAAAAAAAAAGCATGCTAAGAAAAAGAAGTTAGCAGTCAAGTGGCAAAACTATTCAAAACACAAGTGCAAAAGCCCTTTAGACCAAATAGCAACTTAGAGAGTTACACCCTAAAATACTGCCCACGTAATTTTAAGAATTAATTACAAATATATTATTTGAAAAAATCCCAGTATATGCAACAGTAATTTCAGCCAAAGTAGAAACTAGCAAACAATAGTAAAAACCAAGTGTAGTCATTACCTTTTCTTTCCAAAAGCCATTAAAGCCCCGTTCAAAGAACTTCCAGCAAGCTGATCTTCCAGGCCAACAGAATTATTGAGTGCCAATAATGGTTTCAGAACTATAATATCAGAATCAAGATAAATGCCACCATATCTGCAACATAGATAACAAAAGACGTGCTTGGAATAAGAGAACAAGGAAAAAAAGACCGTAAACTTTGAAGCTAAAATGCAGCAGTCTAACCTACCAAAGTCTGACATGTAGCAGACCATTAAAACCAATGGTATAGAAAGTTCGACTTAAGTAGAAAGAAAACAGTGACTTCTTCATAAATCCTGCATGTCATGCAAAAACTAGGAGCAACCATACACATCTACCATATTAAACACAAGACAGCTGAGCTCACAACTCCAAATACATCCATCGTGGTCCTCAACATTTAGTAAGTAAAACAACTTCCCTTTGCATCACTTTAAGCTCATGATTTAGCAGTTAGTTCCCTTTACCCTCAAGGATGTGTCCATAAAAGTTAAGCACATTTAATTTTGATGTACCAACAGATTTAAAACCTTAGTTTATCTAAAAATCCCAAGGATATATAATAACAACAAAAAGCGAAAAGAGATGAATTTAACTAGCAGAAAAGAGCATAATTCATTGAACCAAGATCCAATTTTCCAACATGTATGCCAGCAAATTCATAAAGCGATTTCAAAACTGCATCATCAACTTCACAAAGTATATGCATAAATGAGCAAACTTACTTGTAAAGAGCAGCAAGCCGCAGAAGCTCACTATAATGGGTAGCATAAAACTTTGTCTTTCTCCATTCAAACCACACAGAAGCAAATACATGGGTGGGTGTATCTTTCAACAATTCATCAAGGTTTGGCATTGCTACAGCAACTTTGTAACTGTGTGGAACAAGAAATCATTTATATAACCATAAATATTTTAAATCAAAAAACAGAACCAGAACAAAACTTACCCATCTTTGACAAAGCTGTCTTTGAAAAAATCAAGCTCCATGGTTTCAGAGAACACTACGACACAAGCATCTCGATGCTGTGCAAGCAGACTTTCCAGCCCTCTTTGGTGCCTAACACTATACATCCACGGAGGGGAATTCCACATCATAAAAACTCTCATATCACATTTCCCTTTCCTAACAAATGCATCCATGAAATCCGAAAAAGACAGCCTTGGATCCAATCCAGGATAGTAACCCCATCTCTTTCCATCCGCATATATATGACCCGAAAACTCAGTGTTACTCTTATCAGCCTCTAAATCTATATTCTTGGCCTCTTTCTTCCTCCTTCTACTATCACTACTCTTATTCTCATTTGTTCTTGAACTCGAATCCTTACTACTACTATTTTCTCTTTTGCTTATCACATTCCTTGCATTATCATTTTTCTTACTCTCACCGCCTTTTTCATCCTCTGCAACAATCTCCAAAATCCCCAAAGGCTTCTTCACAGTAAAAGGGACCTTCTTAAATTCGCTCAAAATCCACTTTTGCACCATTCTATCCCCTCTAGTCAACCCAGTTACACCAACCCCATCAGGGTCTTGCAGCAAAGGATTATTCAACGGATTCAAAACCTCCAAATTTGATTTAAACATCCTATCCCTCCTCAAAAAATCACTTTTCTTATCAAACCAATCGCCCCATTTCTCCCTCAAAGGATTCACCTTTTTCCCACCCACTTTCTTCAGCAATAAAGCGTCTTCAACACTTTCCACTTCACTCATTTTCCCCCTAACTTCCTCATCCAATGGAACATCATCGGATCCAAAGGCGGCCTTAGTTTTGACATCGTCTCCCAAAAACCCTTCGTTCAAAAACCCTCCATCATAATCCCAATCTTGAATCGAACGTTTATTAAAAACTCTTTTAATTGACCCGCTTAAATGGTCGAAGTAAAAATGCCCAGATGAAAAGATCTTGTTTTTCTTATTCATTGTCGTGATTTCTTGTTCTTCTACTTGCTCGATTTCGTTGTTGTCGTCCTCGGTTAAAAAGGTGTCGTTTTCTTCGAGGGTGTCGAATTCGTCAATTTTGTCGTCGGTTGAGGAGGTGGTGGTTGTGGTGACGTCATCATCGGAGAGGAGAGGGTTAGTATGGAAAACGACGTCGTCGTTGTTGTTGTCTACGGAGGAATGGTGGGGATAGATATGGGGTTTGGACGAGAGAGAAAGGCGGGTGTGGAGTAGAGAGACTGAAAATAAGAGGAGAAGGGCTGAGATCACGGCGCATACCTGTGCACCGTAACGTGGCCGCCGCCGAGATCGTAGATTCCTCAACATTTTTTTCCTCCACGGTTAAAATTTTAACGGAACTCCGACATGGTACAGAAGAGAGAAGAAGACGACGGAGTGCGCCTGTACAAGAAAGGCTTAGCTTCAGTTTGGACCGCTCGGAAACGGACTTGTATTCTATTTTGTAAATTTATTAAAAAGTAAAGACTTCGGTTATTTTATTTTTTATATTTAAAAAGAAATCAATATAATTAATTAAATTAAGTTAATTTTTTTTAGAAATTTTTAAGTTTTGTTACGTATATTTTTCAATTGATTCAAATAAATTTATTTATATTAAATTTAATAAATTCATAAAAACTTTTAATGAATTCAAATTTAGATAACCTAAAAAAAAAAAACGTTATCGTTTGAGCCAATCATAATTGATAATTAAAATAATAAAAGACAATTTATATAACAATTATTTAAGATTGTTATCATATTAAAAAGTTTGGTATTTGTCACTTTTGCCACAGACTTTGAGTTTTATATATTTATTATATCAAATTTGTAATTAAAATTTTAACTCTGTAAAGTTATTTGGAAAAAAAATGTTGGAATTTTTATTTTCATAGGATTTAAATATACATACAATGATGCTAAGATATTAGTTCACTGAATATCTTTAATTTATCATATAAATTTAATATTTAATATTTAATAAAATATGTAATAATTCCGTAACTTCGCTAATGAAAATTTTAAATTCTAATCACACTCAGACAATCAAATACTCTTATATTGAACCACTGACTCTAATTGGTCAGAAGAAAAATATTGGGAGGAAGCTATAGCCCAACATACTTCACTTCCTTCTACGTGCTTACCTAACATATTTCACTTCCATTTACGTTCTTAGTATATGGCTGCTGGAGATTGATTATGAGTCATTTTCAAAGGACCAAGATGAAAGCAAGATTCAACAATAGTCTCCATCCTGATGCCAAAAACATCAAGTCCAAGTCCAAGGCCTGGATCCAAATTGCCAGGCAACACCAAATTACAATAAATCACCGAGCAAAAACGAATTTTACCAAACAAAGAACTTCCACCAACCAAAAAAAAAAAAAGGGCAAAAGAGTAGAGAAATTCCATGAACTGGTCATCATTCCGATCAATGTAAACAAAGCTCATGACATAACTATTGAATTTTGGTTGGCATGAAACGGCTCTTCGTTGCCTGATGAACATGTTACAACTGCTCCACAAAACCTGGTAGCTATCTTCAAGAATTTGACCAAAAACCAATTTCACAGACTGTAGAAAGTACTTCCACATCTAATATTTCATTATGTATTTCATGCTATGAATCTTGCGTATTTAAGCAGTTGGTGCTCCCAAAATTTGACTCTCATTGTCTCTTACCAAATCCAAAAGATGGCTGCTGCTTGATTTCTCTGAGTCTCATTTCTGCAAAAAAATGTACAATAGTATAAGGCCTCCAGGCAGGGGCCTTTCACATTGATTCCCTTAGTTCACATTGCTGATGGATAGATCCACCAACAGGGAAGAGGTCATTGATCTGTTCAATATTGTAAAATAACTCACTCTTTGCAACTCCATTACCATCATTGTCTTCACAAACTTTTGGAGTTGACTCATGAATGGAATGGCTCACGGCATTACGATTTTGAGATAATCCATCCATCCCCATATCTCTAGTAGCCAAATCTTGCTCAATTTCAATACATGCATCCCCACGAGAAACTGAAGTCATGCTTGAGATGCCATGATTTTGTGATTCTTTTCCACCTTCATCAGCACATCTCGAAGCAACAAAGCTCTCCATACTAAATTGTTCTGAGTTTGAGCCACTTCCCTTGTCAAAGCTGTTGCCTTCTAAAGCAGTCTGGCATATCACATTTGGCAATTTAACATTTTGTGAAATATCATTTTCATTTGCACGGCAAACAGAAACCCTGATACTTTCAGCATTTTTACTAACAGAACATTCTGTTGAGGATGCTATTACATTTTCAGAAGTATCACCTGATATGCCCATGTCAGATGACTCATTCACACAGAAGTCTGGCCTAATCAATTTTCTCCTTTTGCATTGTGCAGCTGATGCACTCTTGTTATTTAGAGTTTCACAATGGTTTCTACTCTTACCATCTTCAAGGTTCTTTCTCACTGCACTACGACGTTTGAAATCCACAAAAGTCATCTCTTCAGTTTTTTGGCTGCTATTCTCCTTGCTGAACGAGGTAGGCTTCACATTCATCTCCTTTGAGATCATAGCCAAGCCATCTTTCCCAGTGGCCTGTTTTTTATCCCTAAGGTTGGCAGCATTATCCTGATGCTTGACTAACTGTTTACATCTTGTCTTCACCCAAGGGTAACGGGTTTGGTGCAGCATGTCCATGACTTCATCCACTGAAGTATGCCTATTGATGTCTGCTGTGCCAAGAGGGGTGTTACTTTCTTGTTCACGACCTTTAGGAGGCAAAGCCAGGCGAGAAAACACACTACTCCTTTTCTTCTGGCGATCTGGATATGCAGCAGGACTCAATGAAGTAACTTCATGGTAGTCCACTTTTGTAAATTCATGAACATTCAGCTGATGCTGGCTCTCTTTATTCTCATATTCCACATTCTTGTATGTTGCAAATCTGCCATCCTCAATTGCTCTGTTGTCATTATAAAAAGAGTCACCATGGTGCTGGCACTCTTTAAACATAAAACCATTACCAAATTCCGCATCATTTTCATGCTCTGGCACTTGATAATCATGCTTGTCTTGTAATAATGCAGGATACCTGTCAGAAAAGGCGAGAGAAGGAAACTTGCTAGGACAGGTTCTATAAGAGGTTGAATGCTCACTTATTGTGACATTATTTCTAATTTCAGAAGGAACAGGTGCTAAAGAGGGCTTCAGAAGGGAAAGATCACCACAGCGTTCTTTGTTAGAGTATTCTGCTGCTAGGTCATCTAGATAGTCATGGCTTGGCTGGCTAGTCCTGCTGGAGCGTTCATACTGATTAGGAAAAGGCAATGGAATGAAGTCCCCAGAATCAGAGTTGAAATCAGGGGTTATGGTTGTCCTTCTGGTCTCTAGTAATGAAGGAAATGATTGATTTGGGGAAGAACCAAGGGCTTTACCAACAAAACTATCATGACTAGAATATTCTTGCAATGGAGCATGACCCTGATTGAACCCCAAAGATGAGTCCCTATAATTGATACTAGGGACATTGGGATCATAAGGAAGAGTAGTTGTAACAATTGAATCTTCAAAAGTCATTGGATAACTAACATTGGAGTTTTGCATCTCCATTGAGGGAAGGAACATTGAAGATGGCCTAGTTGGGTCATCAATAAACGAATCTGTTTCTAGAACATGTTTACTAGAATACACCTGTGTATTAACTTTAGAGGGAAAAGAACTAGGATATGCTGTTGAGATGGTTAGTGGAAAACCATCATCCTTGTAACATTTTCTTTCAATCCTATCACTGTTTGCAAACCTAACATCATTGTAAATGCTTCTGAAATTACCTGAAGAATACCCAATTGAAACTGCTGGTTGAAGATCAATGCCATTCCATTCATTGTCCACCCTATTACTTGTGGCATTTTCACCAGCATTTGTGTTCCCTCCAACTTTAGCCATAAGATCCCGAAAACATTCATTTAAGAAGGCACTGGCTTTATGCTCATATCCCACATCATTGAATGTTCCAAATCTGCCACCATCAGTTGCTCTGTCATCATTATAGAAAGAATCCCCTTGGTGCATCGTTGAGATAACTGGACCGTGATGGCTGTCCACATCATATTTACCCAGTACCTGGTCACTATTTGGCAACCTATCAACTGGTCTTCTGTTTTTACTTGTAGAGTACCCACTTGGCCTTGCAACAGCCAACTGTCTCTGAGGTGCCTGATCTTTCAATCTCTTCAAACTGAACAATGATAGAAGCCTTCGAACCTACATATTTAAACAAAGAGAAAAAGAATAAAACATTTTTAAAAGGTGGCATTTAAATTTATTCAGGTTGGATTTTGATAGAAGGGCAGACCTGATCTTCAGATAGTCCAAAGTTAAACTTGTTTCTGGAAAAATAGTTTTCTCTGATAGCATCACGGAATTCATTTTCAGAAAGCGGACAACAGTACCACAAAGGGGTGAATTTTACCTGGATGAAAATCTGTAAGTATTAGTGCCAACTCCAAAATGCATCCTTCTTCATTGAGAGATGGAAGAAACACATAAAACAAAAAATAAAAATAAATGTACCCATACCTGTGCAGGGAATTGCTTCCCTGATGATCTGAATGCATGAGGTAGAATATCCATTGCACCGTCAGAGCATGCTTGAAACACACCATGCAGTTCTCTCTTCTCAAATTCAAACAGAAATAGAATCATCCCAGCTTTAACCTGTTTCACAAAGTGGGACTGCGAATATGGGAGGGCAAAAACTTTTCTTCTTAAACATTCTTTTTTTGTTGCATTGTTCGACATGAAGATTGCACCAAACTCAGGACAACTTCCAGTAACACTATTCTGCTCCTCATCATCCATTTTGCTCACAAGGACACGCTGTCAAATTCAATAATAATAATAATGACAATAACAGCAACTAAAAGAAGGTGTATATGATCTAACTTAATTGGTCAAAGCAGTTAAATTAAGAACTAAGTTATTGCTATGACCAAGCTGAACCTATATACTGTAGCCAAGTTCTTTTAAGGTATAAAACATCTTCAGCCAACAACATATATGAACTTCTTGTCTCCTTCCCCTTACTTTCCTGCTCATCTCTTTTCAAAAACATAAAGAATCTTCCTTAATGTAAATATAAGCCATAACAAAAGCATATCAATTTTCTTCCTTATGTTGAGAAAAGAGAATAGGCAGCAGCAACCAAGAATTATAATATCACATTTTTATCCAAACACCAGCAAGATATAATCATCCGATTTTCCAAATCAGAATCTTTAAAGCAAATATGGTTGAATTTCTTTTGTATTATTTCCAGCAAGCAACCATTCAAATGGATGAACAATTAGAATACACAAAAAAATTCATTACCAAAATCCATCGCAGTAATTCAACCAAAATTAACAGTACAGCAAACATATAAATATATATATATATAAGCATTCAATATCAGTATTTTTTTTTTTTCACCAAACACAAAGTTGCCATTACTTCAACAATCATAACCTATTTTTGCTTACGTTCTTTAACCTATTTTTGTTTATGTTCTTTTAAGCAAAATAATTACAATTTAAGACTAATTATTTAAGAAAAATAAACGGGACTCAGCGAAATTCCCCTTAAGAATACATAAATCGACAAAGCTGTCAATTGTTAATATTATTTTCCAGAGAAAATCGACCCACAAAACTAAACTCAATGAGGAGAAAATCATCATCGTAAAAAAATATATAAATAAAATAAATTCAATGATTAAAAAAAAAAGAGAGATCTAAACCTGGAAAGCGAAGAGTCTGTATTTGGCGTTTTCAAAATCTCAAAATCGAAAGAGCAAAGTCACCTACTTTATCGCCATTCTTTTAATCAAATATTAACAAAAAAAATCGTAAATTTCATCATAAAATTCTTAAAAGATTAAAAAAATAAGAAGATTTGCAGAGAAAAATAGAGGAAATTACCGAAACGAGAAAATTGGAGTTTAGTATAGTAGATAATGGCGGAAACGGCGTTGTTTCAAAGCTTAAACGCAAGTTTTCACTGTTTTTGAAACCAACACGTCGCACTGTTTTGGAGAGAAAAGAAAAAGATAGCTTTTGTTTGGCAAGGTGGCGTGGTTACTACGGTATTTATATAGCTACCCGAGAAGTGGCGGTTTGAGCTTTGCTCTTGGGCCCCTTCTAACAAATAAAATATGACGAACACACAGTTTCGTTCTCGGCCTAATAGCTGGCGCGTGGCCTGGGTCTCGTATTTTTGCTGCCTTCATCCCGTTGTTAAGTGTACGTAGGCCTAGTATCTGTGTGAGTCCGTGTTCTACCTTTATTTCTTCCATTTTTTATTACTATTAAATATGAAAAACTACAATATTTGCATAATATAAGATGGAAAAATGGAATAGAGCCACACAATGATCTAAATAACATCACATATGACAAATAATAGTAAAAAGTAGCGCACAATTACAATTTAAGAGTTTATTTGAATGAATAATGAGATTAATTTTAATAAAATTTAAAATAAAAATAAAATTTATTATAATTATGGTTGAAAAAAATTTTGAATTAAATCTGAAAATTTTAATAAAAATTTTGTGTTATATTTAATCAAATGCTAATCACTAGATTATCATTTGAATCTTATTAGTAATTTTTGATAATTAATTACAACTCAATGAAGGTACATTGGGATCCAAATCCACCCTAAGATGAATAAAGCAATGTAACCCATAATACATAAAATGTATAAGAAATTAATTTTAAAATAAAATAGATATACCAAGAAAAAAAAAAAGAAAATACTTGTAATCTAGTTTGCCACGAACAATTTGTTACCCACACATAATGATGGTCCATCTTCACTCCATATCACCCATCTAAGAAGTGAAATTGGTAATTGCAAATAACAATATTATTAAAAAAATTTTTAAATTTTTTTTTGAGAGTTTTGGTTTATGAAGAATGATCAAACAGAAAAATTCAAAATTCATATATATTTTAGATTATAAACCTGAAAAATTTTTAAATTTTAGCCTTTAATAAAATGATGAGGTTATGTCACTGCTTTGTAGTGCCTAAGGAACCCTAGCCTTGGATAGAATTGTTCCCACTTTATTGGAAATAAGAAACAGCACCTCAAATCACATGAAGAAGCATTATAACCACAAACACAGTGCCTTGTGTTATTAAATAGTTAATATCATTTCATTTTTTGGCAATTATGTTAATTGCCAAAACAAAATTGAAGATAAATTACGGAGAATGATAATGTTGGAAAGATCAATCCACAATAATAAGAATTTAATCAAGCTCTCCAATAATATTTTGGTTTGATTTGTTCTCTAATTTGAATTTTATATGATTTTTTAGTTTTTTTTCATCGCTAGAGGCGTAAATAAATCAAATATGAACGAATGTAATTATATTTATGATTTGTTTGTTTAATTAATAAATCATGAAATTTGATTCACGATTGTTTATCAATTTTAATAAATTAATATAAACAAATAAAAATATGTTTATGAACTATTCATCGAACATTCTATTAGTTTTTACAAATGAACTAAATATAAATTAATTTTCTAATGTTCACAATTTATGCGTTTAATTTAAAAATCTTAAATATTATTTATAATTATTTGTTAAACTTAAAAAATAAATATAAAAAAAAACTAAATATATTCATAAATTATTTATCAAATATTTTACTCAGTTTACACCTTTATCCATCACATATAATAGAAGTAGAATTTACTCACCTAAAAATTATGATAATATTGTATAATGAAAAAAATAAAAATAAAAACTAAGTAGGTTCTACTGATTATATCTCAACTTACTCATCTAATCACATTATATGACATGAAAGGTAATGAATTATTATGTTGTTTTTAATATAAATTTTAAAAGAAAATTAAAAAAAATTCAAACCTTAAATCTCAAACATATTTTTATAAAAATGACAATGATTAAACTAGATTTTAGAATCAACATTTAACTTATTTGTTTGTTTTGCAAAAATTAATTTCTAAAAATATATATATTTTGCAATTTTTATATTTGTTTGATAAATCAATAAAAAATGAAATTTTTTAGAATTGTATTTTCTTTTAAAAATTTTTTTGAAAAAGAATTATACATAGATAAAACTACTTATTAAATAAACTCGTGCGTTAACCTGATTGAATCAGATCAAATCTGGTTGATTGTTCAAAAAATCAAATTTGTAAGATTCAAAAAATTATTTTAAAAATATATATTAAAAAAATTAAAAAATTAAAAAATATTATTTTTAATATATTTAGAATTAAACAAATTTATTTTATTTTTGAATTAAAATTTTAAAATTTAATATTTATTTAAAATTTTTGTTTGAATTTACTATGATTGAATTTAATTGAATTAAATTCAAATAATTTGCCGCTATTGTAAGTCGAGTTCAAATAACATATAAAACAAAATTCAATCGTGAGTTAAATAAAAATAGTTTTTCAATTACGTAGGGATCAAACTTTGGCGCTAGATTAGATTGGTTAAGATTTTATTATTTGATGCCTTTCGTCTCTTTAGATTCTTTCCCTTTCTTCATGGGCCCTACTAAATCCTTCTTTGACAAAATCTTGAATCCCAGACCAACCTTAGCTGGCTTCGTTTTTTTGCTTTTGACTTTCCTCATCAACTTTTTATTTTCTTATCAATCGACTATCAAAGAATGGGCCCAGCCTATGAGCCCCACATGGCCCAAACTATTCTCTTTTCTTAAAGCCCAGTTTGAAAATTGTGTTTTCCGAACAAAGCCCACCCCACCTCGATAAAGCTTCATTCTTCCCGTACAAGAAAGCTTTAGATCTAGCAACTGTTAAAAAGGTCCGCTCTGTTGCTTCTCTTCCCATTCAGAAACCACCCCCAAAGTAAAACCCTTTTTTCCTTTTCTTTCATTACAATCTTCATTCTCGCCACTCGTTTTTCTTTAAACCATTTTTAATAATTTTTTTTCCATTTTGTTTAGAATTTTAAATTTATCGTAATTTTGTTTCTCCGTAAATCAAACCCATGGGTGACAGTCAATATTCCTTTTCTCTCACAACTTTCAGGTTATCCCTTCATCCGTTATTAATTTTATTTCTGAACTATTTTTTTTATTTTTTTCGAATAAAAGAATTTAGTGTTTTTTTTTTTTTTGTGTTTTTGAACAGTCCTTCAGGAAAGCTAGTTCAGATCGAGCACGCATTGACTGCGGTCGGGTCGGGTCAAACATCTCTTGGAATCAAAGGTTTATTTCTTATTTTATTTTATTTATAAATATGGGTTTATGGATTATAGAAGTGGTGAAAAAGTTGTTGATTGGTTTAATTTTTATGCTTGCAAATAAATAAATAAATAAATAAATACATTGGGTTTAATTTGATGATGGGTTTTAAATTACAGCTGCCAATGGGGTGGTAATTGCTACTGAGAAGAAATTGCCTTCAATCTTGGTTGATGAAGCCTCTGTAAGTATAGTTGTGGATTTACTTTAGACAACTTTATTTTTACATTTATAATCTGATTTTTGTAGAGAAAAGAAAGTAACTTTATATGTTAATTGAAGAATGAAAATGACTTGCTGCAACTATGTTGCCTCAACCATGTTGTCAACGTGAGCTTGGTTATTGGGGTTACAGCCCGCCAAGACAAGGAAATAATTGAATGCAACTGAGTCTGAGCAACATAAACTTGTAATGATTGTACTTGCTTTGTCATTTATAATTTATGTTTCTAGAAAATATGTGATGCTATGACTGTTTTAGGAAGCCAATTTTAAACTATAGTATCATATACGTGAAGTTGGTGTTACTAAGTAATTCTTTTATAATCTTTGAACTAATGAAAGTCACGATTATTATATTTCTACTTTCAAGCTGAGCAATGGTTAATGTGGTTCTTTGATGTCTGATTTCAGGTTCAGAAAATACAGTGTCTGACACCAAATATTGGAGTTGTTTACAGGTTTGTTTTTCATGTCTACAAGTATCTAGAAAGCTCAGTTATTTAGTTTTTTAGTTGGGAATGTATGAATCTGATTATCAGTAGGTTTATATTGCATCAAATATGGCTTGATCATACACCAACATTTTACATCCATGATTCCCTGTGTGTTTTGTTAATAACTTGAGTGACATGTGCATCTGTGAAATGGTTGACTAAGCAAACTAGAAGGTTCCACAAGGAGCACTATAAACGAAGTAACTTCATGTTTCATTAGGTGGTCCATTTTAGAATACTTTTTTTGTCTAAATGTTGGATATCCAGTACATTGCCTGCCTGGTGTTTCATGGAAGCTATTCTCTTTGGAAAAGTTTCTCTCTCTTTTTTTTGTTCTATACTGAAACCATTAGGAAATTATCTCTACATGATTTAGTTAACTGAGATATAAAGAGTCATGCTACTCGTATCTAATTTGTCAAAGAATTTGTTAGTTATGATCTTTTTGTCTTGTCAAGTTTTGTAAGAAAGCTTTTTAAGTGGTTTCCCATGTTATATGGGCACTTTTATATGGTTTGTTATCCTTGCTGGCCTCCATGCTACATCATTATTTGCATGAGGTCTTTATTACAATTGCTATCTCCAACAAAAGAAAGGTGACCGTGCTTTTGATTTTGGAAAAGAAGTTGGGCCTGTAGAAAGTGAACAATTAACATGCATTTCTGTGTACTAAAACTAGCAGGTGGGGATTATTAGGCTTCTAAATAAGTATACTTGTGATAATTTATATGTTTTAATCCAGTTCTTTGCCGCTAATATAACTTCTCTATTTGTGATACTTATATATATATATATATATATATATTCAACCATAAATCTTCATTCTGTTCTGCAGTGGTATGGGTCCTGATTTTCGAGTTTTGGTTCGGAAAAGTAGGAAGCAGGCAGAACAATATCATAGATTGTATAAGGTGCTGATGGCTCTTAATGATACTTAATTTCTTTAACTTCTTCATCATGTATCTGGCGAAATTTAATCTCAGATAAATCATGGTGTAAATTGCAGCCTAGGTCTGTTGGTCAAAGTCTTATCTGTACATTTACCTTTGCAAATTTGTTCAGTAACTTTACTTTTTATTTTAAAAGTAGAACGCTATATGTTATTGTTTCTTGCATGGCTTTCTAACATGTGAGTTTTGTCTTTGCAGGAACCAATTCCAGTAACACAACTTGTAAGGGAAACTGCAGCTGTTATGCAGGAGTTCACTCAGTCTGGGTAAGAATTGTGTCCTTATATTCATAAACTATTACTCTTCTCCTTGCCTTTCTCTTTTCTCATAATTATGAAAAATAGTTTGAGGAGTCTAAATGTTTGAGGACTTAAGTAGTCTCTTGTCAATAAATTTTAGGCTGTGGCTTTCTTCACGAGTTATTTGTTTGTAAAATAACATTATTTTATTTGGCCAAAAAAAGTAGCATGATTCTAATAAAAGGTTTTTTCTTAGTAGTTTGTGTGTATTAAGTTTCTTTGGATTTAGTTTTAGCCTTAAGATTTCTGCATAATGTAAAAAGGAATTTTTGAAAAAATTGCAATGTTATAGATCTCAACTTTTTCACGTGTTTGAACTTAGTAAATTTCTGCTACATTTGGGATCAATTTGAATTGGAGCAAAATGTGGAAATTAAAGTTTGTGCAACCCTAGTTTAAGTTTGATGCATCTTTCTTTTTCTTTGTAGTGGTGTAAGGCCTTTTGGCGTATCTCTACTGGTTGCTGGATATGATGACAATGGTCCACAACTGTATCAGGTATTTCTTGTAGCTAATATTTGATTATATGACCACTGGTAGAGATTGCATAGAATGTCTGATGTGCTTTTCAGCCATATGATTCTATTCCTTATCGCTAGGTGGATCCGTCCGGTTCCTATTTCTCATGGAAAGCCTCAGCAATGGGGAAAAATGTCTCAAATGCAAAAACATTTCTTGAGAAGAGGTACTTGCCCGCCCTAGAATCTGATACTTCAGCATTCAAACAAAATCAATTGAAAGTTTCTCTAATATGTTATATTTCTTATGTTCTTTACTGGTATTTGACGTGATTGGTGGTGTCACTGTCACATAGTAGTCAGAACTTCTCTTGTAGCCTTTCGTATTGGTGGTTGTGGCTTCCAATTTTGTCACTTTTGCTCATGAGTTTACTAGTAGGAATCTTCTATCTAGGTGAGAGACTATCACTGCATGATCTAATTAGTGGTTGCTCCGTTAAGTGGCCACAGGATTACCATTTTTTTCATGGCAACCCTTTGGATGAAGAAGAATGAGGCAGAGGAAGGGAAGATGCTGATTCTTAAGAAGCTTAGGAGTGTTTCTGCATTCCCTTATCTTCCACTCGATAGTCTAATATCTCATTCCCAAGTTTGTGGTTGGAGGGGAGGGATAAGCCTTAAGTAAATTTTATTTTGTCAGTCCTATATTAAACTCCCAATCCTCTTTAGGAAATGTTATAGCTAGGATGTTGATTTATCCAGCAAAGGATTATACAATAAATATGAATCTTTTCCAGAATTGAGTTGGACTTTCTCTTACTTTACAATTCTTTGTTGTTGAAATACTGAAGATGTAGTTGGTTATTTTCTTTCCTCGCAGATACACCGATGATATGGAGCTTGATGATGCTGTGCATACTGCTATTTTGACTCTCAAAGAGGGGTAACGTCAATTTTAAAATTCCCTCTGCCTGGTCATCTTTAAATGTTGCTGCTTAGGAAGATCCATAATATTTCAAATTCACCTCAGAAAAAAATTGTTTGTCTGAGGTGCTCTATAAAATATGGTGTCTTTAGTATATCTTACAGGCCATTTTCCCAATATTGCAGATTTGAAGGACAAATCTCAGGGAAAAACATTGAAATTGGGATTATTGGAGCCGACAAAAAATTCAGGCAAGCGCTGCTTTGACTCTTTCCCCCTCCTGAACTTTTTTCTGGTATTATGATGATGGATATATGGCCTTGTGGCTTTGGGAAGCTTCAGGAGTGACCCTTGTGAAATGCACTTGAGAAAGGGGTGCTGTTTTACTTGCAGTCAGCACCAATATCTTGTGCAATTTTTATTTCTGAATTTCCGAATGATTATTATCATGAAATTGTTCTTTTTCTGGTGGCTTATTTACTCTTATTTTGCTCTCTTTCTTGCAGGGTGCTAACCCCAGCCGAAATCGAGGATTATTTGGCTGAAGTCGAGTAGTTTGTCTTCTTACCCGAGACTATTTAGAAGTGTTTATTTTATGCGACATTTGTTTTGAGACGTTCAATTCAGTCAAATGTTGTACGGAATTGAAAAAACTTTGGGAATGCATGATCTTGGAACTGAAATCGAATGAGATCTGGGTTTGATATAGAATTCTCATGCTGTTACTGGAACTTATTAAAACCTTTTATCTCTTTGATTATTCTTACTTATCAAATATTTTTCAAAGTATAATTTCCCTGTTCAATGATAGTTTTCCATGATCAATGTATATCTTCCTCCAATCCATTGTTAGAAGACAAACGGTCGAAATTTTCATCCTTCAAATCCGCAGCAATCAAGATAGGTTTCATGCATTGGGTGGTTTGGGCAGTTCTGCCGATAACCAAATGTAACACAGGTTTCTTGCAAGTCATATCTCAAGATATTTCTAAGTATTTTTGTCTACATTATTCTCGCTCTATCTGCCACGTTGTCTTTGAAATTCTCAACCGTCAATCTTTCAAACTGGAGGCCCGCTCCCCCTCTTGGAATTCTTGCCAAGTTCAATCAATCAATTCTATGCTCTTCCATCTGTATAACTGCAGCCTTATTCTCGCTTCAGTTCCATTTTTAAATTTACTTTCTGATTTTATGGGACAACTTTCTTATATTTATGCTAGTTTAAGTGGCATTTGCTTTCTTTTCTGAACTGGGTTTCAACTTGACATTAACGTAAAAAGGAACAGTACCCTCTTTAGGTTGATCTTTGGGTACACGCTCAACCAAGTTTATATTGAGCCAAGAAGCTATAAGCCTGGTTTCAGATGGATAGCAAAGAATTCTCTAAATGATATAGCTATTGAGAAATGGAAACGTGATGGTGCTTACATTGACAAACGTGGAAAATTGAGGACCTTTTATCATAAAAAACCGTCTAAGAAACGATGTAATATCATCATTTCAGCACTTCATACTCATATTTATGTGCTTTGTAGTAGTATATATGTTCTTATATATATCGATTTTGAATAGTTTTACACTTTTAGCTTCTTCATGTAGGTGGTTCTTTAAGAGGACAAGGATGGAAATATGGTTCTGGTTTTGTGGATTCAATTTTCCCTGTTTTAAGGCCCGTTGCTCGGCTGATTTTGGATTTTGCATATCGGGAGGTTGATGCTAATAGAGTTTGGGGTTCTCCTTATAATATTTCTCCCACTCATGCTACTTGGGGTAATCTTATTACGGTAGCTGTTCAAGTTCGTTTGAACGAAAAATGGGATACAATTGTGTCGGTAAGAAAGATAAAATTATTGTTAACACTACATTTTCGGTTCTTTTGTTGAAGATTTGGAGTGGGATTAACTACCACCGCATGCTTTTACTGACATTGGAACTTGAAATAGCCATTTCTTTAGGTTCTTTAGTCTTTACTTATTAATGGGATAGATTACTTCAAACTTACTTTCGCGGTTGAAGTAATTTTGCCAAGATATGTGGATATTTACAAGAGAATTATCTGATATTTCCCTCCTTTTTAAAATACAGTCACACGAACGGCTCTGTTTTTTTTCCTACAGTGTTTTGATAGAAAATAGAAACACTATAGGATTTTCTATTTTGATGAAATGAGAAGTCAAAAGTGTAAGCCAAAAATCTGCACATATACTGCTCTGGTTAATGCTTTTGCTAGGGAGGGACTCTATGAGAAGGCTAAAGAGATTTTTGAGCAGCTTCAAGAATCTGGACATGGGCCTGATGTTTATGCTTAAAATGCACTCATGGAAGCTTGCAGGTTTAAAATCTTTTGTTATTATGTACTTCCTGATTCCAATAAGTTAGTTCTGATTTTCTAGGTTTAGAAGATTAATTGGAGTTAAGTTCTTTGAGCCCGAGTATTGATCTTCTCAAGGGAATTAGTAAATTGGAATCATGTAGCAATGAGAATCACCAAAGGTCAATCTTTATTAAAGTTACTTCCAGGTACATGTGAAACTTTTTGACTCTCTTATCCCTAATAGTGGTGCAGATTATCCATACGGTGCATCAGAAGGATTTTCACTCATGCAGCACCCGGGATGTGAACCAGACAGAGCTTCCTTTAATATCATGGTTGATGCATATGGTTGATCTGGTCTACATATGGGTAAATATCTTTACCAAAAAGTGAAAATATTTTGTTGCTAAGGAATTAACTAGCAGACGTCTTTCGAAAACTTGTTCTGCTTGAAGTCCAGACTTCATGCATTTATCCTGAAGATCTTACAAGAACTTGTAATTTTCTGCTCGTAGTTTTCTCTTAGTCTCTAGGGATATTTCTTGAATGAGAGAAAAAGAAAACAAAAACGACATTTATTGAACTGAAGTGGGGAAGTTTTTTTCATGAAACAACATAAATCATCACCTGCGTTGTTTTCAAGATACTGTTGGACTCCTGTTACTTAGCATATGATATTTTTCTAGACTAACGAATATAACCTCGTTGTAGATTGACTGTCAATTTGTCACCATATACCGTTCTCATGTGTTTTGAAGAGATGAAGAGGCTAGGAATCACCCCAACAATGAAATCTCACATGCTACTTCTATCTGCCTACTCTAGAGTTGGCAATTTAGCCAAGTGAGGATATTGTAAACCAAATGTATAAATCTGGACTTGAACCTGATACCTTTGTCCTCAGCAGTGTGTTGAACCTGTATGGTCCGTTAGGCCAATTTGAAAACATGGAGAAAGTTTTAATTGCAATGGAAAAGGAGCCCCACAAAGCTGATATTAGCACATATGACATTTTGATCAATTTTTATGGACGGCAGGGTTTTTTGAGAAAGTGATGGAAGAGCTGTTCCAATTGCTTCCTGCCACGAATTTGACACCTGATGTGGCGACCTGGACTTCGCGGCTAGGAGCCTACCATAGAAAGAAACTATATACAAGACAAGATGCTTGGAAATTTTTGAGGAGATGATTGATTCTGGGCTTCTGGCTGTTACCCAGATGGAGGAACTGCCAATGTACTTCCGTCAGCATGTTCTAGTGAAGATCAGACCGAGTAGGTTGCTATAGTGATTAGAACAATGCACAAGGACATGAAGTTGAATGAAGACTTGCCTGTAAGTAGATCACACCAAATACATATCTGTAGAGTATTTTCTTATCTTCCTTTACCGCTTGATACAAGAGGCATCCATGTATTCACAGAAATAAATTGCTGTATGTATAACAAACTGAAAATAGATTCTCATGCAAGGTGTTGTTCCAGAGCTGAGTTGTCTCGCTATGCTCCAAAAATAATAATAATGAGCCTATGCTATGATTAAATATGTTTTCAGAATAAAACAAGCTACCTTATATCTTTGCTCAACACTCAGGGATTGGTGAAACTTCATTTCAAATGTCAGAAGATCTGTTCAATGTTTCAAAGTGTCTGAGATGTGCATAGTTTGTTCTGCCATGTGTGAATTTTGCTTTAGAATGGCTGAATTCAGTCCATTAATTTTAATGCCGCCAACTTGTATGCTGGTTCATTATGCATCTTTATATGGTGTTTCTAGAATTTTTGACTATTTAAGAAAATAAATGTGCAGGGAAAGAATTTAAAAAAATGCTTTACATTTCTGGTATAATCATGTTTTTAGCTTGTACAGAATATTTGGTAACTTTCCTGCACCTCAATTTTGAGGTCATGATCACATGCTTACCCTATAGGTGAGGGAATGTCTTCAGGGTCTCTTTTTGGTTTAACCCATCTGCCACGTTCATTACAAACCAATCCTTTATTGGCCAGTTGGTACCAGAAATGAGGGATCCTTAGCTCATCCACCAACATATCACATGCCTTGTTCACCAAGGCAATATCCCTACGTGAATCTGATCTAAACTCTGAGTCTGTACTTAGGAAACCATCAATGAGGTGAAGGTAAGTCTCAAGGCTATGGAATCCTAATGGATTGAATCCGCGCTTGAGGTAAGGTGATGAACTAACATCCAGTCTCAGTTCAGTTCCTACATGTGTGTAAATCCACTCTAATGTTCCAGTTATATCATCAAACTTCTGAAAACTCTCATTAAAAACAACCCCTGGCATTCGGGGGACTAAATCCTGCTTGATTACCACTCTCAATGTTTTGACTCCTAATTCATCAAGCACATCCCGGAAGGCACTGTTCCCAACTCTAGGTGCACCAAAGGAAATCACGCTCACAGGAAGGCCTGGAAGGGTAGCTGCAGCTTCATAGGCATTAAGGAGAGCCAACGCACCACCCAGGCTATGGCCGGTGATTGTTAAACTCACTTCTTCACCTCTTCCTTCATAGAATTTCACTAGTCTTGTCACTTCTTTCATTACTTGCTCCGAAGCACTGGACTTGTTGTACCTTGTGGATTCACTCTTTGAAGTGTAAATGCTAAGAAAACCATGTTCAACTTTAGAATCTCCAAGCCCGATTGGTTCCAGTTTCCTCTGAAAATCCTCATACCACTCTGATGGTGCCACCGTACCCCGCCAAGCCACCACAATATCTCTTCGTCCAATCCTACATGTCTCCTCATCATCGCTAACTGCCACGTAGCCCATCCAGTTGGAATCCTTGCTCCAGGTTTCCGTTAAATTTGACCTCTGTAACCACTGTAGCATCTCAATGTGTGACATAGCATAAATGTACTTGGTCACCTCATAACCATTTTTATTAAGGCCTAATTTCTCAAAAAGCTTGTTATGATTGTACCGGCAGCTACCACAATACTCTGAGAAGGAGTCAAAATCAAAAGCATCATATGTCGCTTGAGCAAACTCTCCATACCTGACAATTTCCCGCCGTAGCCAAGGGTGAAGGGGGTCTAAAAGATTGTCCCAATCCTTATTACCATGAATTTCACACCATCTATCAGCAATAACCTCCTTGGGAGAAACTGTTGGGGTATTATGTTTCTCTTCACTAAGCAAATCCCAATTGGAAAATTGAGGATTTTTCCTTGAAGGAGTTTCAATATGGAGATGGAGAAGGTGTGATAATGATTCAGCTAGACGAATACCAGGATTCGACATCTTAGTTCTGGGATGACCTAGAACAACATTTTGAGGGGCAAAGATGGTAGGAACCCGATTGAAACTGGTGTTTAAAGTGGTTGGAAGATGGTTATAGACCATAGTTGACATGGCCATGATTTGCAGCTATTAAGTTGGTTAGAAGATCAGCTTGAAATGCTGGATTGTTTGGCTGTTGAATTGAAGAGTACCGTGACTAATATATATATATATATATATACAGCTATTAAGTTGGTTAGAAGATCAGCTTGAAATGCTGGATTGTTTGGCTGTTGAATTGAAGAGTACCGTGACTAATATATATATATATATATATAGAGAGAGAGAGAGAGAGAGAGAGAGAGAGAGAGAGAGTAGGGAATGTATACAGTAAAATTTCAACAACAATTAATCAATGGCATGCCACGCGGTGAGCTTGAAACTTCAAACCAGTAAAATATACATGACACCATGTAGGGCAGAGTTGGTTTAGGAATCATTGAGACCGGTTGACAACTTCAAATATAAAAAGCTTGACCATTTATATATGTGATCTGTACATATAGTTATATAGAAATGGTGAATATAAATATGCATAATTTAATGTAAGATGAATCAATAAACTTCAACTAATTTAGTCTAAGAAGTAACTGAGAATGGGCAAGGTTATACTGAAAAGTTGACTTTCAAAAAGAGTGCCTTGGATTTTCAATTTCTTGTTTATATGGTTAAAAGCCTAAACAATCCCGTTTCACACATGTTTCATGAATCCATGCTGACAAGTCCTGGTCAAAACATGTTGCGTGTCGTTAAGCTTCTGTTAGCATCTACTAGGAGTATAGTATTGTTTGAGTTTTAGGAGGAAATTGTAGCACAAATTCCGCATACATCGATGCTCTTTGTCTCTGTTTAATTCGTCGCAATAAACTAGCCCTTGTTTGGTGGGAATGTGTCAAGTCATGTGAAACATGTTTGTTTATTATAGCACTAATATTCTTTTGGAGTCCTGACTGCCTGATCAGTGCGCTGGAAGTAATTTGTATTAAACTTGTCTGTATTTTGTATTTATTTTTGATACAATGATATTAATTTCTAACTTTAAAAAGAAATGGAAGTATATTTGCATTTTTTTTATCAATATTAGCCATGTTTTTAGCCTGAATACAACATTTGATAACTTTCCTGCATCTCAATTCTAAAAGTGTGGTCATGTGCTTCACCAGTTAGTGAGGGAATGTTTTCAGGTTCTCTTCTTGGTTTAGCCCATCTGCCATGTTCATTACGAACCAATCCTTTGTTAGCCAATTGGCACCAGCATTGAGGGATCCTTAGTTCATCTACCAACATATCACATACTTTATTCACCAAGGTAATATCCCTACGAGCATCAGATCGAAATGTAGAGTCTGCACTGAGGAACCCATCGACAAGGTGAAGGTAAGTCTCAAGGCTATGAAATCCCAATGGATTGAATCCACGCTTGAGGTAAGGTGATGAATCAACATCCAGCCTCAGTTCAGCTCCAACATGTGTATAAACCCATTCCAATGTTCCTGTTATCGTCAAACCTTTGTAAACTCTCATTGAAAACAATCCCTGGCATTCTAGGAACTAAATCTTGTTTAACTACCACTCTTAAAGTTTTAACTCCTAATTCATCAAGCTCATCCCGGAAGGCACTGTTGCCAACTCTAGGTGCACCAAAGGAAATCACACTAACAGGAAGGCCTGGAAGATTGATTGTAGCTTCATAGGCATTTAGCAGAGCCAATGCACCACCCAAGCTATGGCCGGTTATTGTTAAACTCACTTCTTCTCCTTTTCCTTGGTAGAATTGCACCAGTTTTGTCACTTCTTTCATGACTTGCTCCGAAGCACTTGACTTGTTGTATCTTGTGGATTCATTCTTGGAAGTGTAAATGCTAAGAAATCCATGTTCTACTTTAGCATCTCCAATCCCTATTGGTTCCAAGTTCCTTTGAAAATCCTCATACCATTCGGATGGTGCCACCGTCCCCCGCCAAGCCACCACAATATCTCTCCGTCCAATCCTATGTGTCTCCTCATCATCGCTAACTGCCACGTAACCCATCCAGTTGGAATCTTTGCTCCAGGCGTCCATTAAGCGTGACCTCTCCAGCCATTGTGGCATTTCAGTGTGTGACATAGCATAGATGTACTTGGTCACCTTGTAACCATTTTTACCAAGGCCTAATGTCTCAAAAAGCTTGTTATGATTGTACCTGCAGCTCCCGCAATACTCCGAGAAGGAATCAAAGTCAAAAGCATCATAAGTTGCCTGAGCAAACTCTCCATACTTGACTATCTCTAGCCATAGCCAAGAGTGAAGTGGGTCTAAAAGATTGTCCCAATCCATAGAACCATGAATGTCACGCCATTTATCAGCAATCAACTCCTTGGGAGAAATTGTGGGGGTATTATGTTTCTCTCCATTAATTAAATCCCAATTGGAGTGTTGATGATTTTTCCTAGAAGAAGGGGGGCTCAATATGGAGATGGAAAAGGTTTGATAGTGATTGAGCTAGACGTCGAGCACCCCTATTCACCGTCTTATTAGTTTTGGGGTGATAAAAAAAAACTTCCCGAGGGGCATGGATGGCAGATATCCGGTTACCACCGGTGCTGAGAGTGATTGGAAGATGATTATAGATCATTGTTGATAAGGCCATGATTGATGGTATAATATTAAGAATTGGTAGCAAAAACTTTTGAGTAGCCTAATATTAGGGGGCATTTGATGGTCAAAAGGGTATAGTGGTATTTTTTTCTCTCAAAACCTTCAGTAGATAACCAAGGGTATTTTTATCATTTGTAATATGGTCAGCGACACTTCAGCTCAACCCTATCTTAATTGTCCCTTTATAGTCCCCTTAGTTTATCTATAAATATAAAAACTCAGACACCATGAAGGTAGATTCATCCCACTAACTTTTCTCTCTCCTTATTTTTTTGCAGGTATGATTTTTACTGACTTGCGCATCGAGGTGCAAATGCAGAGAACACCATTTGCCTTTACCTTTAACCGTTTTTCTCCTCTGCATTTACAGAAATACCCTTAGGTCGAAGCTCAACACCAACATTTGCTGCATCAAGGAGGGGACATATCATATTATCGAGCACAAAACAATGCCACCAAGAAAAAAAACCCAAGAGGAAAAGAGGTAGCCATTTCAGCTAGAACAGAGACTCACAGCATTCTATCCATCTAGCTCAACTATAGGCGGGATCGATCATAGAATAATTTCAAGCCCTGATAAAACAAATACAAGCTCTCAAACAGATGCAATAAATTATAACTCCACCACAAGTTTCAAAAGTTCTGGGCTTAATCACATTTGACCGAGAAGCCACTGTCGGACAACCGAGCTACGAAGAGGCAGAAGCTTCCTCAACCTTCGAAAAAGAAGAACATACAAACCCAAACCATCACCACCCCAGCCACAATTTCATACATGCCACAACCCAAAAATCAAAACAAACAGGCCATGAATTTCAATCGAACAGAGATTTGCAAGCTCGAATGCAAGCCATGAAAAAAGAACTGAAAATGAAGGCTGTGGCATTTAAGGATGAGCTCAAGTTCCAGAATATCTCACCATTTACTGAAGAAATTGATAGAGCCATGCCTCCCAAAGGATTTAAAATGCCAACCTTGGAGATATACAATGGTATTTTCGACCACTTTGATCATTTGAAACTTTATAAAACTAACATGAATATGTAAGGGATAGACAATACTTTAATGTGCAAAGGTCTAGCCACTACGTTAAAAGGCACAGTTTGGTTCTGGTACAACAACCTGGAGCTGAGGTCAATTACTACATTAAAGGAGCTCGACCACTCATTTGTGTCCAGATTTGTAAGTAGCCAAAGAGTAAAGAAAATGACCTTAAGCTTGATGTCAATTCACTAAGGGCGGAATGAAACTTTGAAAAGCTATGTCACGTGTTTTAACGTGAAAGCTCCATAGGTTAAAAACTTAGAATAAAAGACAGTTGTTATTGCACTAACAAGTGGACTCAACGATAAAAAGTACCATTTAAAACTGATATTATCATTAAAACCATCAAAAACTCTGGTTAATGTCCTGCTAATAGCATAAAAATACATTATTGCTGAAGCTACAATGAAAACAAATTGAGGTGAGAGAGGCCCATCTCCCATTCTCGATGGTCAATGTGAGAGATCGTAAAAAAGTCAAAGATTTCTATGATTATCCCTCAAAAGGGAGATAACATAGGACTAGAAGTCTTAGCAGAGAAAGAAGTTATATTACACTGAATATCACCCATGAGAGGATTCTAATGTAAATTGAAAGAAATTTTGACCTTAGATGACCTAAACCACTGAAACAAAACACAATGAGGGATTCGACAAAAAATATGCCTTTCACAAAGACATCGATCATAATACCAAAGATTGTATCGAGCTAAAAAATGAGATTGAAGCTCTGATAAGATGAGGTCAGTTAAAGAGATTTGTGAGATAGAGAAGCCAAGACCAACTTAGAATGGATTGCAAACAAGACCACAGAATGCCTACCCAGGCAGAAAGGGAAGAACAAAGCAAAAAAGAAGGGTTGCCCAAGGAAAAAAATAGAATCAATAAGAGGGCTGAGCTAATAATAGTAGGCCAATTGCTTGGGTGATTAACATGATCAAGGAGGTAGCTCCACCTCGATTAAAAAAAAAATTTAACCTGGGCATGGTAATGGTAATAGGCACCTTGACCCAAAAAGAAAAACACTAGAGAGACAAGTCGATCTTATTTAGTTCGAAAGATTTGGAGGGAATATAACACCCATACAACTATGCCATAGTGATCACAGCCTTGGTGTATAACTATGTGGTCAAAAAATCCTATTTGATAATGAGAGTTTGACTGACATCATGTATTATTGTTGTTTGAAAAAAAAGGATTAGCAAAGATTAGTTAAAGTCGATCACCACCACATTAGTGGGGTTTGAGAATGAGTAGATGCCCATAAGAAGAACTATGAAGCTTTTGATCTCTTTAGGGACTAAACCAAAGATAATTACCTCGGTCATAAAATTTATGATAGTGGATATCCTATCTGCCTATAATATGATATTAGGTCGACTCAGCCAGTTTGTTATACAGCTTCTAGGTTTAGTTCTCTATTTAAAAGTGAAATTTTTAACAC